GAAAATACTAATCCCTAAACCCTATGCCTAAACCCTAAATCCTGTATCTATATATATATATATATACATGATTAAAAGATGCACCTTGAAGGCTCCATTCGAGGTTCGCTTGCAAGATTCCACGCAGACTGGTACCGTAGCCTGAGTCGTTTGTACGGTGACTAGCCGACTTATAATAAGCACGACTCCAGCACTCACGAAAATCCTATTCGAATGCCAAGGTACAGCGACGTCACGATCTGAGGGCGCCGTCTCATCTGTCGTCGTGGCTGCCTGGGCTTGGCCGTCTTAGGGGTCCTAGTGGCTGCGAGAATAGGTACAGCAAGGAGCGAAGTCGGCATGCAAACTTCTTGGCAGCAGCACTGCAGGTACCGACTCCTGACTTCACGAAAGTAAGTCGATCATCCTTAAATTAAATCACACTTCTCCTATCCTCGCGGGCTACTTATAATCGGACTGGCCTGTCGTAGTGAGCCGTGCACGTCGGCGGCCTGATGCGACTACTGTCGATAGCTAGCGGGTTAGAATTATAATGGGTGAGGCTGCAACAAATCTATAATGATGGCCTGATCTAGATTGCGGATACAACGATAAATCTAGCGAGAGTTCGCTCTATAGACAGAAAGAGACATAGATAGATAAATAGATAGATAGATATAGATAGATAGATAGATAGACAGATAGATAGATAGATAAATAGATAGATAGACAGATAGATCAGATAGATAGATAGATAGATAGCTAGATAGATAGATAGATAGATAGATAGATAGATATATAGATAGATAGATATGCAAGGCTGCATAATAAGGGTTTTCTGGCGTTTAAATTAGGTTATTGCGCAGCTTGTCTTTTCGAATAGGGTTTGGATATACAGACAGGCTTTCCTTGTTGGACTGGGGCCTGGGGAGAATCATACATGTCACTTTGGGGGATGGCCTCACCTCGAGCCAGGCAGCCAAAAGGCCTGCAAAGGTGAAGTGGCCCCTGTAGACGCTCATCGTGACGTGCAGGGAGGATGCCGAACCGGCGCTTCGAGCATAGTGAGGAACGCCTTGGGGCAAATACAGAACATCTCCCGGCAGCAGCGTGACGTTCTCCAGCACCCTGACTTGGTCGGGTTCCAGGAGGGTCCACGTCTTCTCTCCTTCTTGCTGCGCCACGAAAACGTCATGTCGATCGGCATGCGGTGCCAGACCTTGCGAACCGGGTGGAGTCAGGTACACGTTGAAGTCGCCTGAGACGCCGAAGCAGGCCCACAAGGCATGATGGAGAGAGTGCAGCTCCGCCTTTGCAGCATGCGCCTTGTTAAAGATGAAGGTCCAGTTCCTGCCGTGCAAAGCGAGATCCTCGGAACACCGCAGAGGCAGCTCTCGCAGAATGTGCGCCACATACTTGTGATCTTCTAGCCTCTCAAGCGACCCAGCTAATGTCCGGCAGATAGCCACCGACCAGAAATTGACCGAGCTTCCACTCCAAATTTGTGTTGCCCTAGCTCCGAAGGCCACCTCCTTGCTGACATCGTCGAGCACAGCGCTGTGCTCCCCGTATGAAAGTTTTCGCTTCGAGCACGCCTCCTCGTGGAGGTCCGCATCGAAATCCGACACCAGACTGAGACCTAGGCTGTTCATTCTTGGAGGCCCCTTCAAAAGCCATAAGTGTTCCTCCTTCTTAAGTATAGACGATGCTACAATTAATAAAGTCTGTGCATGAGGCGGCTCAGAGACAATCTTCCACGGAAAACGGCAAACGTAGCGCCGAGGCTTTGGCATGGAGCCAGTGCGTGCCAAACTTCTGCTCCAAGAAATCGTCCTCTGCGACACCCAGGAGTTTGGACACGGGCCCCCGAAAGTTCCGGATCTCCTCCCCTTCCATGTACCGTCTCGGGACGTGCCCACGCAGCTTGCCAGGCAGGCGCACAGCTCCGAAGGCCTGGCAAAGAGGGGCGAAGCCCCAAACCTTTGACAGCACGGCCAAAGCCAGGAAGGCCCACGTTGGCACGTGCAGTCTCCTGTCCTTGTAGGCCAGGGTTACCATTCCCGGGGCCCCATGAGGGAGTGGATGGCCCGAAAGCACATACCAAAGATCTAGCAACACCACACACACAGAGATATCTAGAATCCCGTCCATCTTCTCATGACAAGGACCAAAGCAACTCAAGTTCGTCTAGCCGGCTCAAGCGCTCAGAAGCCCGATGATGAGGACTTTTACGAGGTTCCCGACTCCAACCCCCGATGCGCACTCTAAACCCTAAACCCCCAAACCGAGGGTATATACTTTGGCCTTAAAGTAGTCCCTATATAGGTACTTTGGGCCCAAACTATATGCTATTTGGGTACATGGACCCTTACCCTAAACCCTAAACCCTAAAGGCCCTTAGGGTAGGGTTTAGAGAGGCTCCTAAACTCGATGCACGCGTGGCTGTCAGGGCTCTTCAGGATGAGGAAAGGGTTTAGGGCCTAGTTCGGGTAGAACTCGGGGTTTAGGGTTTAGGGTTTTAGCGCTTCGGGGTTTTGGGGCTTAGGGGTTTGGGGTTTTGGGGTTTTGGGGTTTAGGGGTTTAGGGGTTTAGGGTTTAGGGGTTTAGCGCTTCGGGGTTTAGGGCTTAGGGGTTTGGGGTTTAGGGGTTTA